TTTTTAGTCTGATTTTTGGAAGCAACCTGATTCAAAAAAAAATGTTTCTTAACTTTCAGGATATGTAATTCACATTTTTCATACCTTACCATATGCACTGCCAGTCACTTTGTTAAAATTTTTAAAAATAAAAATCTTAATAATTTAAAATTTTCTACCTTAAAAAAAGATTTTAATGCCTAAACAGAATTGTGATGGTTAACTATCAAGTTATGCAGACTTTTTTGCTGCGAAGTTATTAGGTTGAACCATAAAAAATTGCTGACTTTTTGGCCTACAGAAGAGGCAAATTCAAATACTTCAGTTTGTATATACAGGAGTAGTGTCTTTGTAATTGTTAGGAATTAAAACTGACTAGGTTCTATACAAGAACAGGGCATCAGAATAATAAATCAGACAAACTATTATTTGTCCATAAATCAAAAGTACATTTGTAATTGAAGTGTACAAAAAAAAAAAAAAAAAACCTATTAACAACTTATCAGGTGTAGAAAAATCTCTTTTGTCCAAAGAGGATGTTGGGGTATAGCCAGCTAACCATCCAGGTCTTCGGGCTCCTAGTCCAGTTCTTGTTGTATTACTCTCCCAAAATATTCATTTACATGATGTTATTGTTATTATTTATAATATCCACTAGGTTTCCTGGAGGTATTGATGGTGGTTTTTATGTCCACATCCCCAACACATAGGCGGGGACTGGCAATTGGAAGATGTGCAATAAGCATTAGTCAAATGAATGGATGGTGACAATCTTTGACCAAGCACTTCCGCATGCATTATCCCACTTATTAGTTCTAAGAATGTGTTGTATCATACCTTCATCTTGGTTTCGAATCGACATTCTGCTTTGTCTTCGTTTTTAAATTCATGGTATCAACAAGGAAATGCTTAAAAACCACAATAGAAATTTCTGAAACTTTAGTTAAAAAAAAAAAAAAAATCTGAGAATTGAAAACCTAACTCTTGTTAGTCAGGTGGGTTTTTCTGAAGGAAGATTGCTCTTGCATGTGCAAGTTTTTCATTTAAGTATTACACAGTGGCTAAAATTGAAAGAGCAGTGAACTGCTTAGTCACGTTGAAAATGTAATATTATGTCTGCGCCCATAACCAGACTTTGGACCTACCAGCTTTCTTCTCTGTAGTTATGTAGATGCTTCTGGTCTTCAGACGACCTCATTAAATACATTACTATGACTGTTAAGTGTTCAGAGGAGCCTATTACTTAGATATTCACAAATTTAGATTAATATCTCTTGAACTGCAATAAAAGACAATTACTTCTCTGTACATCATTCAGAGGAAGATGAAGATAGCTGTATTTGTTTTCTAGGACCAGCGACACAGTAGTCCTTTCCTGTAAGGAGCACCTGCCAGTCACTCGGGTTGTGATGACAGATGCAGGCCAACCACATTCAGAAGCAGCCTATACACTGGGGCCTCTGCTCTGCCGGGGGGACAGTAAGTAGTGGCAAGAGGAAGCACCTTGAGCCCTGATAATACATGTCAATGTTTCATGAGAAATTTAGCTGTATGAGTTCACAAGAACTCCGTCTCTCCTGATAATCCATATTTCATGAGGGATGTATTAATTTATGTGTATATTGTAATTGTAATTGAGGAAAATTATATTACCTCTGGATTATGTGTCTCTTCTATAGTATTTAATTAGACTACTGCTGTGAAGACTCATGGAATCGTCTGAAATATGTTGCTTGGTCAGCAAATATTTAATATTGTTCTACTAAGTATAAGGCACTTTGCTGAATGCTAAGATGTCTAAAATTGGTAAGATAATGATAAAATGAGAAGACAGGACCTATCAGATGAACTTGTTTGTTAAGGCCTTCTGGTAGTTCTGCGTGTTTACATAGGAAATCTCAACACTCCTAACTCCACTTACCCCTTCATCTACATCTGGATTGCTTTTACATCCTTCACTCCCCAAAACCAACTAAAACAAAATTCATGCACGCATTTTTAATTTTCCCCCTTCTAGTCTCTCTTGAACACACTCTATTCAGGGCTTCTACTCCATTACTTCCCAGAAATTGCTTTTTCCAGGTCACCAGTGACACCTCAATGTCTCTAAATCCAATTATTGTTCCCAGTTGTCATCTGAATTGGACTGTCAGCTACTTTAGCCTTCTCTCATGATTTACTCTTCTTTGATTCACTTTCCTTACTTGGAGGCCAGCATACCACAAAATGCTGTTTTTCCTCCTTCCCTCCTCCTCCCCTGTCTTCCTTTATCTCTCCAGTGGGATAATGTTAGGGTGCCCCAAAGCTCTATTCTGGTCCTCTCTCCTCTCTGCTCTCCACTGGTGATCTTTTCCCATCAGTCTCATGGTTTTAAATATCATATTGATGTCAGTGACCCCATGCCTTTGCTTCAGGCCCAGTTTCCCTGAACTTCAGAACCTGCATCCAACTGACTATTCTGTACTTTTACTTGTATTTCAACCATACAAAAAATGAGAAAAGAAAAATAAAATGCTTTCACAACAACCTTCCTCAACTCAGTTCGTGGCAACTCCATTATTTCACTTGCTCCTTAGACTGAACACATCACAGTCACTCATATCTTCTCTTTTCCTCTCATAACCCACATCTAATTCACCAGCAAATCTCATTACTTATAATTTCAAAAATGGATCCAGAATCTACCTCCATTACCACCTGTGTTTAGATTGTTGCTGTGGCCCCATAACTGGCCTGCCTGCTTCTGCCTCTGCCTGCTAAGCCCATACATTATACAACAGCCAAAGAGAACAAAGTCAGACCACGTCAGTCCTCCGCCCCAAATTCTCCTGTGTCATTAATATCAGAGGAGAGGCCAGAATGCAGCATCACCCAGGCCGTGGTGGCCATGCTTTCCTTTGAGCTGGGTAGGACTGCAGTGGGGCCTATGGAGCTACAACTCTCCTTAGGCACCACAGGAGGTGTTGCCATGTGAGGAAAACCTGGCATTTCTGAACCTTACTTCTAAAGTAAGAGTTTTCTATTTCAGATAATAAAATATCGAGATGTAGAGTGTCTAAATGTAGAGGCATGTTAACATGCCTTGTCTGATGACAGTATGAAGAATTGTTTTTCTCACTCATGATATAAAATGCAGGCCACAGTTCTGTTTCTGGATAAGATGAAGTAAACATACCCCTTCCCATCTCTCCCATTGATTCACCGGACAGAATTCATGAGGTAGTTATCTTAGGACTCTGGAAAACAAATAGTAGCAGGAAAAGGAAACCAGAATTCACCATTTACTTTTTCCTCCAGCATCTCAGCCAACCTAGATATGGGCACTGGGTCACAGACAGAGAAAGCTCTAGGAGCAGCCCTCTAGTCCTGGCTGGAGGAGGAAACAGGGAACTCTTAACTCTCAGGGAGTACAGGAATCATATCCCCCTCCCCTTTTCTCTGTTTTCTGAGGGCCCAGTTCCCAGGCAGTCCCCTGACAGTAATGGTCAAAGTTGACTCAGGAGCCTGCAAAAGTCAAAACTCCAAAGGAAGGGACCTTCTGCTCTGAATAGGGCAGCCATGATTCTAAGACAGTGGGAAAACTCATGTAAATGCTACTTTTTTTTTCTTTCTCTGTTCACCCATCACTTGACAGTGAACATGGATCAGTTGCAGAAGTGCATAGGAGAGTGCAATAGAACAGTTTTCTGGTTGAAAAGTGAGCACCGGGGAACCAGAAAGTACCTAGAAGTGTACAGAGGGGCAATTATTCAGGAAAGCAGAGCCATAAGTTGTTTATGAAGTCCTGAGTTCACCTCAGAGCTACACACACATAGATCTTATCCTAATTATAGACCAAAGAAGTTGGAAACTGAGCTAAGAGGCTACCACCCAGGACCCAGACTTGCCACTGGATGGTGCATGAGTGAGGCAGATCTGAATAGTACTGCAAATGAAAACTGGCCTGCCATTAGGATCATGGCCCACAGAAGGCAGGTTATAATGTGTTGCCAGATCCTAACCAAAACGACTGCATAAAAGAAGGAAAGAAAAAAATAAATAAATAAAGGAAGAAAGAAAGAAAGAGAAAAAATAGAAAAGAAAAATATCAACATGCTTCATAGAATTTAAACAAAACCTAGAGTTTATTAACATAATATCTAGGAAGTAATTGAAAATTGCTTAGCAGAAAAATCTAAACTTACATAGGAAAAAATAGCCAACAGATACCAATGCCAATATAACAGAAGTTAGAATTATCTGATAAAGACTTTAAGAAGCTGTTCACAAAAACTCTAACAAGTAATCGTACGCTTTTGAAACAAATATAAAAGAGAACATTTCAGCAAAGAAATAGGATATATAAAGAAGAGCTAAATGGAAACTTTAGAACTAAAAAGTATAGTAACTGAAATAAAAAATGCATTAGATTGGTTAAATAGCAAATTTAAGATGAAAGAGTCAATGATCTTGAAGATATATAAAATATCCAATCTGAACAAAAGAGAAAAAAGATTGACAAAAGTGAACAGGGTCTCAGGGACCCATGAGTCAATAATAAAAGACCTAGCATTTATGTTAACACAGGAAAATGTAGAGCTGAAAAAATACTTGATAAAAATAATCGCTGAAAATTTTCCAAGTTTGGCAGAAGGCAGACAAAAAGTTTTATGAAACTGAAACAGTATAAACTCGAAGAAACTCACATCCAGACACATCATAATCAACTTCTGTAAACTAAAGATAATGAGAAAAATTTTGAAAATTGCCAGAGAATATGATGCATTATCTATAGAGAAACACCAATTCAAATGACAGTGAATTTCTCATCAGAAATATACAGGCCAGAGGAAGTGGCCAAACATTTCTCAAGTGCTGAAAGTAAAGAATTGTCAGTCCAGTATTCCATAGTCAGCAAAAATATCTTTCAGATATGAAGATCACATAAAGAAATTCTCAGGCAAAGGAAAATTAAAAGCATTCATTGCCAGAAGACATGCTTTAAAAGAATTTCTAAAGGAAGTTTTCAGATAGAAGGGAAATTATATCAGAAGGAAATTTGGGGCATCAGGAATAAAAAATCAGCATTAGAAATGGTAAATATCTGAGTAAATATAATAGACCATTCTCCTATTATTTTAAATAAATTTGAGTGTTGTAAGGAAAAATACAACATTATATCACAGTGGTTTTACTGTATGTAGATGTAATACATGTGGCTGCAACAACAACACAAAGGGAACTGACTAAGGACAAAATTTTTGGTGAGGTTTTTACATACCACTTGAAATGATTAGGATATAGATTCTAAGAAGATTGTAAAAAGATAAGTATATATATTGTAATCCCTAGAACAACCAATAAAGAAACTACTACAGACAAATAAAAATAGAATACTAAAAAATGTTTAAATAAAAGGAGTCAGAAAAGAGGAAACAGAAGAACAAAAACTAGAACAAACAGGAAAAAAAATAATAAAACAACATATCGATATCTAACATATCGATATTAGTTTAAATCTAACATATCGATATTAGTATTTTAATTAAATGGTCTAAACAAACCAATTAAAAGATAAATTGTTATGACTCAACTATATGCTGTCTACAATGCTGTCTTGCATTAACCTATTGTAGAAAGAAAATCATCAAGGATATAGAAAACCTGATTGTCACCACAAACCAAGTGAATCTAATTGACATTTATAGAACACTCTACCAACAGAATACTGGCAGCAGGGCCCAGTCAACAGGGCAGAAAGCAGAGAAGCAGATGGCAGAGAAACAACAGTTGATTTTTACCAGCCACTGTTGCAAAACCGATGCAGAGCCACAACCCCCAACCCCCAACCCAGAGGGTCACTCCCATTCCCCCCGAGACCCATCACTGCGGAGCCCCAGGGGAATCTGAGTGAACGCTACTGAAACTTTTGCTACCACTGACAAGGACTGAAATTGAGGATAGCGAGCATGATTTAATATCTACAAGAAAATAAAGGCTTGGGTGGTAATCACACAATAAAATATATAGATGTCAAATTATAATGTACACCAGAAAATTATATAATTTTATTAACTAATGCTACCCCAATAAACTTAATAAAAAATAAAAATAAAATAAAAAGGTAAATAAAGGCATTATATAAAGGCATTATTAAGGCTTTATATAAAACAGGGATCCAAGAGGCTTAGATGCCATCTACTGGAAACAAAAAGAAAAGCTACTTCTTTGCAGCAGGCTAAAGAGAGACCTTTATATAATAAATCTTCTTTCTGGAAAAAAAAGCAGAACATATTTCGATTAATTCCCAGGCAGAGAAATAGTCCGTTAAACACCATGAACAACCAAGATGACAAAGCATCTCAGAAAGAAAGAGAAAAATCTCCAGAAAATAAGACATAGAAAAATGTGACTTAAATGACACTGAATTCAGGATGGTACTTCAGAAAACAACTCAGTGAGTTCCAAAACGAGTCATATTAACAATTTCAGTAATTGAA